AGAGCTTCTTCGCCGTATTTGGCGGCGGATACTTTTGCACAGCGATTATTTTTGATTCGTCTGTCTCGATTCCTTTCTGAGATATTTTGTAACCTAAAGTATTTTAATTCAGGGGCTGCAAATTTGCACTTTTCGACATTAACTTTTAGACCGGCCTCATTTAATAATGAAAACACCTGTCTTAAATCCTGTACATGTTGGTCCAGATTATCACTAGTAATAATGATATCGTCTAAATAGATAAATGTGGACTTTCCAAGAACAGGCCTTAGCACAATGTCCATACATCGCTGAAATGTTGCCGGTGCCCCTGAAAGGCCAAACGGCATACGCAGGAATGCATAAGTGCCAGACTTGTCCGGTCTAACCCCTATTTGAAAATAACCAGTCGTTAAGTCTAAAGTCGTCATGTATTTGGTAGAAGTTTATGTTCCTTAGAATTTCTTCAATAATAGGTAACGGATATACCGGATATTTAGTTATGGAGTTTAATTTACGATAGTCAATCGCGAAACGCCACCTTTTTGGATGTGTTAATGGATAGTCATTGTTTTCTTACATAAAACCACCGGGCTAGCATAACTACTTGAGATGGGCGTTATGATCTTTTTACGTAACATATCGCTAATGTGCCATTCTATAATTTTTTCTTTATTCTTATCATACCGGTATGCTTTGTGGCGAACTGGCATTGAATCTCCGGTGTCGATACTATGGTTAGTAACTTGAGTAAATCCTGGAATATCACTAAATAACGAAGCAAATTCACTTACCACTTGTCGGATTCTTTGTTGCTCTTCCTTAGGCAGGTGGTCAAGGTTTAACATTGGTGGTTCCGTTTTTTTCTTCTCGAACTGGTTTCATCGTCAGCTTAAGGGACGCTTCATTAAAATCCAGCGTTGCTTCTGCCTCTGAAAGAAAATCTATCCCTAAGATAATATGTGCTTGCAGATTCTTTACTATAAAAACATAACCTTTACTTGTTCGTCCTTGATACGGACGTATAGCGGTAATTTACCTATGCACTTGCATCTTTCTCCTGCGCAGCTAACACTGTCGTATTATCCGAATTATATATGCGGTATTTCCGAAAATACTTCCTAAAAAAATCTTCTGCCACACAGGAACACTGCGCGCCTGTATCCAGGAGTGCGGTGGCTGGGATGTTATTCACCAACACTTCAATCTTCGGAAGAGTCAAATTTTTCACCATTACTGTATTTAACTTGAAGGAAGAGGGGTTTTCTTGGCCTTCGGATTTCCGCACCCTCCCGTCAGCAGAAATCCGGTTTAGTTTAAATCTTTTTTTCTTTCCATGCTTTCCTTCTTTTTTCCACTGGCCCTGAGACTTTTTTCCTGGATTGCTATTGAACTGTCGACGTTCGCCGGCTGTTTTTGGATGCTCGGGTTTCCTTGCCCTCTGATTCGCTTTGCTTCCGTAGCCGTGTGCTTGACTTTGCTGCGGTCTTGGCTCACCAAATTGGTTTCGTTGTTGATATTGGCGTCTTCTTTCAATGTCCGCCGTTCTTCTACTTTCAAACTGGATTGCTAGCTCAAATAACTTTTCCAGTGTAGTCGGATTCCTTAATTCAATAAAGTCTTGTACTTGGGGAAGTAACCTCGGCAAAATCACTTGAATTATCTCAGGATCCGGACGGTTTCCATACAAGAGTTTGAAGACGTGAATTTTTCTTAAAATAAAGCTTGAGAGATTTTCGATTCGTTCTGATATATGCTGAAAAGTTCCGTTTCTAATTTGCACGATCCCTTACGACAGGGAAGGCTTTTACTAAGGCAGTCTTGAAATTTTCGTAAGTATAGGTGGGACTTCCCGCTTGACCCAAGAGACTTCTGCCTATGCATTTGAACCAATTAAGCGCTGCCCACCAGCGGCCGAGCGGTAAAGTTGCTGAACACTGGTAGTTCGGTCTGAGGTTCGAATCCCGCGAACGGGCTGGCTGCATGGGTGTTTTCGTGGTTTTCCCCATGTGTAACGTGTATACGAGCCAGTTTCCCTTAGAAAGTCCTCCACGAAGGCATCCCTCCCCTTAGGCAGATAGCCCTAGTGTGCTTTGCCATAATTAAATACACACACACACACACACAATTAAGCGCTTCGCCCCTCAAAGCACTAGTAGCTAAGGTGACTTTCTGGAACTCGTGCACGGGATACATCATGAAGTGGTCCTCCAATTTTTCCAAAAAACTGGTTACCGGTGAGTTTCCATTAAATGTTGCTTCTGGTTTCATCGAAACGCGCATGGTCTGGTCGATGTAACCAAATCCTTCCAGGGCGGCAGCTGGCATTTCTGGATTCTGAGCCGCCTTCTGCAGGCAGCACAGGTTTTTCTTGAAACTCGGCCATGGTTATTCTTCTTCGTGGGGCGCCACTATCAGGTTCAGCGTTTCTCCTTACTTGCTTTGGGAACATTCAAGAACCTGACTCGGAACAGGGAGCTTTCTAAAGCTATGTTCAATAAATGTGGGAAATAGAAGGGTATACGAAACCCTTTATTTTTCCCTCTTTACAATGATTTCCGTACTTCGGAATACAGAGACCAACCACTTGTGGTCTGAACGTAAGAATATAAAAATATTAACTAAACTCTAACTTAACTTTGGAATAATAAACAAGGGCCTACGTGGAAGATTGGCCGTATATTAACAGGAAGCCGTATGTAGTACAGAGAACTGTTAACACTACAATACGTTTAAAATTATCAAGAGGATTAAACCTCTGGCCTGGAAGGCAACCAGCAACCGAGTAAAACTGCTAAGGCAAGCGGCCTGCTTCTACTAACTCCTTCCTCTCTCTCGCTTGGCAAAAAGCCACAACTTAAGTACTTGGCGTTCGCCAGACAAATTTGCATAAATAAGTTAAAGCTTTTAATTCTGGCCGGAAGTAGAAAATAAGAAGTGATAGTAAAGATTTAAAATAAAATAAACGTTAGTAAAATATAAGATCCTTACAAATTAACCAAAAAGTAGCGACCATAATGTAAATGAAAAACAGTCCTTAGACGTGAAAAGGTTCAAGGCCATTTGTTTTAAGACTATTTTCTCAGATACTCAGCTACTTCGCATATATGTAATATAGCATTCAAAATGAAAAATTCAATATTTACTACAAATTCATTGATGTAACAAATATCTGTCTTTCTACTCTTACTTTAAAAAAAAAAGATGTTATTTGCCTTACAGTTTATAGTTCAATAATACATTTTCATTGTACAAAATTGCATTCATTCGAAGAATTCAATTTGTATTTTCTTCTGTATAAAAACTATATGTAGAGAAGTTAGATGTTTAAACGACCCCCACATTTTCTCAAGACCACGAGCAAGATTATCCTCTCCTTTTCAGCCCCCCATGAAAAAAGGGGTTTTAAATTTACAACCTGACCGCATATAGAGTGCTTTCGTTGTTGTTGTGTCCATATTACATGGAACAAAGGTTGCCAGAGCCTACTCCAAAGAGAGATTGGACTTCTATTTTTCACCCCCAATTTTGAGGAAGAGCACCCCGGGAGGGGACGGGGGTTTCCCACCCCTCTCCCCACCAATCCACACGAGAGGACTTTCTGCTCGCCGCATATTTAGAGTGCCGCCATACCGCATCAACACTATACATTTACAAACATCCATGTCTTACCCGGGTTCTTTGGTACCGTAGTAGGCTCCCCTAAACACTATACCGTCTGGGCGACTGGCTATGCAGTTAGTAGCTGTTTAAACAAGATAGGTGCACAAAGTACAGCTAATCTGTGATTGGTTAACATTAGGTTTTAGTTCCATTTTTCAAGCAGCGTTATGTAATTTGGAACAGCGATCGTCAACCCTTAGAACTTCATGGATAATTACATATATTATTTTATATTTGGGGAAGACCACTAATATGAATTTAAAAAAAACTTAATCAGACCTTAAAAACAACATATTAATACCCAAAAACAATATTCAACCTTCCAACATGTAATTCTAATTTTCATTTGTTAATATAATTTCCGGAACATTTGGTGTTCAGCAGCATGCCTTTATGGGAAATTCAGGCTACATCCCTGATTATGAGTAACAATTAAAATACTATTAACATCTCACTGATACACACATTTCGTTCAAATTGAAAACTTATGTGAAAAGTACAAAAATCGTACCTTCTTGTACAGAAAGCTTCACATTTCCTTATCACTGAAAAGGAACTTCACGAAAAGCAAGAATAAACCCTGGCAAGAGCAAAGCAATGTCAGTAAACTGAATAGTGTTATGCCACCAATTTTTAATTATTGTAAACATAATAATCATCGCTTACTCAGCAATGCCGAAATCTATCAACAGAGAAAGCAAACACGGAAACGTCCAGTGATGCAATTATAAACAAGAATGCAGATGGTTCTCGTAAAAATCCATCAAGTTGCCTATTAACACGGAGAAAAACTGTTATTAACGACTACAATAGCATATGTCTGTAATTCAAAAGGAAAGAGAATATCAGTTCGCGCTATTATTGATAACTGTAGCGTATCCATGGATGCCAACTCTCACTTTCACATGTCGCTAGATCCACCTGCAAAAGTAGCTGAAAAGTCGCTAAATTTAGAAGGAATTTTGCTAAAAGTAGTAGCTAAAATTTAATACATATTCCATAACAGGTGTTGCTACTCGTAATTTTTTTAACTGAATCTTCATAAAAGTATAAATAATGTCCCAATTTTTCTGCGGACCATCAAAAAATATTCACGGACCACCGGTTGGCGACCGTTGATTTGGAATGATCTCGAATTTGGAAGAAAGGATGAACTTAAGGGGAGAGCAACAAATTAAAATGTTAATTTTGAGATCGCCAGTTGCTCTTAAAGCAGCTATAGTATTTTGTTTTATCTTACATACATCTAGCTATGTTTGAAGATAGCTGTGATTACAAATGAGAAATGTAAAAAAATAAAATAAAATAAAAATAAAAGTTTAACGCTTTAGTTGTTTAAAATAAGCTAGTACTACTTACCGAAAATTAAGTTTTTTTTATGAAAGGTGTGTTTCTTAACATCCCGTAAATCTCATAGTAGGTTTTCATCTGTTGCAGAAATGAGAAACATCCATAATCTTTTACCTATAAGAAAAAATAATTTGTAAAAACATTATTAAAAAATAAGTATAATTTTCTGTTACTTAACCTAATGCTTTTATAAATATTTCGAATTTCTGTATGGAATTGAAAAATAATAGAAATATCCTTTCAAACCTTGGAAACGCAATTTATTTCAAATTGAATGGTTTTAAAATTGATTTTATACAACATGAAATAATAACCTAATACATGTTAAATATGGAATTTGAACTGAAAGAAATATGCATTTAGAAATTAAAAAGGTAGGTAGGTTTCACAACATAGTTTAAAAAGAGATCATAAATTTAAAAATTATTATTATTATTATTATTATTATTATTATTTTGTAAGTCACATATGTACCACTGTCCATGAACTAGAAAAGGAAGAAACACTAATTGTTTACACAAAAACTTACGAAAGTATCTTCTTGTTATTCTATACTTACAGTTATAGTATATAAACCATCTTTTTTAGGAGACATTTCAGGTTCATCTGACGGAGAATATGTGACAGGAATTTCGTCTGAATATGTGATAGGAGCAAATGTTTCAGATAAAGTTCCTGGAAAAGAAAGAGACTTTGAGAAAGTAAACATATACCGTTTGTCTTTACCGCAAAATCCAAACATATTTTTCCCGATTATCAAACAAATTTTGGTTCGCATTCGTGTGAGCCATAAATAATAACAAAGATAAATTAATAAATGACAAATTTTTGCACAATTAATCCAGATTTTACTCTCGCTTTTTTGGATGTTGAAATACATTTGCATCAGGCTGCAAAAAACTATATTTCGGTCTAAAATATATCTGATTTTATTGATGGAAGTGTATTATTTTTCACACTTTACACTACTTTTTTTTATACTTTTCATGAAATCCTCAGCGCATATGTTCTTAAATTTTCATGAAATGGCGAAATGAGCTTCTCCTTGGGAAATCGAAAACTCGAGCCATTCAAGAAAATTTTTGAGATCTGCGGATAAATAGGATAACAGCAAGGCATCAGCATTTTACATAACTGCTGAAATATCACACAGAGGAGATCAGAACTTGGAATTAGGCACTCAGAAGGCATACAGAAGTTTAAGAAAGTATTTGTTAAATAAATGAAATAAGTTCACAAAATATGTATATAGTGACTGAAAATAGTGGGTGTGTGGGTGCAATATTTTTAAAAGTTGAATTATTTATTTCATTGTATAAAACTGATTACATGTTATAGTCACTAAATAAAAATTTTCATGATTTCTGCCTAAAATGAGTGAGTTATCAGGCAGAAAAAAGGTCTAACATTACAAAGGGAAGAAGTAATAATTAATACAAAGTTACGCAGATCTGTGCGAATATAGTGAATCAGTAGCTTTCAAATTAATAAAAGGCTGTAGGAAAGGAACTTGAAATTCAGCGGCCTATGGAAAGCATCTTTCAGAAAAGAAGCAAGAAACAGAATAGCGCATAGAAAAGACTGCTTACTGTGAAGTTACATAAACATGTATCCTCATGATACACTCTGATGAACACTAACTCAGCGTTACCGCTTCTTTCTTCTTGTAAATATTCGTTTGTTGGTTGGTTTACTTGATTATGGCAAAGCACTCGAGGGTTATCTTCCTAAGAGAAGGGATACTTTCATGAAGGACGTACTAAGGAAAACTGGCAAGTATAGATATGGGGAAAGCCAGGAAAACGGCCATGCAGCCAGGCCGTTCGCCGAGATTCAAACTCCGGACCAAAGAGTTTAAACACCTCAAAAGGTTCTGGTTTGAGATTATCGATGAAGAGATAGCAGATGTTGAAGAAAACGAAGTTAAGGTCAAAGTTCTGAAAGAGGACAAGAGGGCAAGTCTATCAGCAAAAACGCGCTAGCTTGATAAACGCTGAAGTTTTCGCGGCCCCAAAAACTGTAAAAAAGATTTATCAAGACCAATTGCAGAAAAGTGGAAAGAAGCTATGCAAAAAGGAGACACTTCCTTAATGAGAGACACACCCTAAGGAGATAACCGACCTACCAGAAAAACGAAAAGTCGCTGGCTGCAAATAGGTATTCCGAATAAAAAGTTCGCGATAATTTCATACGCACATTGCTTGCATGAGCAATCCAATATAATCTGAAGATACGGATGTTCAGTCATATCATACAGCTTATTAGAATATTCAAACAGCTTATAAGAATATTCAAACAGCTTAGTAGAATACTCAAACAGCTTATTAGAATGGGAAAATTGATGAAGAAATTTCCATGTCCCAATATTTTATATATGTTCCAATATATATTTCGTAACATGCGAAGGTAAAGTCTGTAAGATCAAAAGGTCAGTCTATGGACTTAAGCAAGCAAGTCAGATGTAGAATATAAAACTAGATGAAACTTTTCGAAATCTTAAATTTAAATAATTAACGTCTGGTATCTGCATTTATGTACAGAAAAGAATAGATGACTATATCATAATTGCCGTTTATGTAGATAATATTGTTAATTCTACGTAAAAGAGAATCTTCTTCCACATTAAGAAAACTCTCAGCAAAATGTTATACTTGGGTAAAATACAAGTGTTAGGCAAAATGGAAATGTATAAATTAACCAGATTCAGTAAAAATTCCTTACATTTTAATGTTAAGAAAATTAATTCATTAGCAAAAGAATTCATGACAGGCAAAAATCTAAGCCTATATCAAGACCCTAACATTAAAGAATGCGAATCTTGAAACTTCCCCAAAGGAAAAGGAGGTGTAGACGAAGGCAAATACCAGTTTTTAATCCGATCTTTAATCTGTTTAGCTGTATCTATCTGATAAATTATTGCAGCTAAATAATAATTTATCAGGTCGTCTGACCTAATATTGTAATTTCTATTAACAGTAATTCTTTCACTGGAAGAGGAGGTGTTAAGAAACTTGCATTCTCTCTTGCCCCTCTGCAGTACTGGTTTCAAGCAAAAAGGTGCATTACAATAACTTAAATCCACATTAAACGTTAAAGTAATTTATCGGATAACGAATGAAAGTTAAATGTTATGTAGACGCTTAGTGAGTCGAAAATCTCTCGACATGAAATCTTTTAATAGCTATAGTTTCATCCAAAGCAAGGAGTCCGATTTCTCGGGAATAATTGTAGTGCTATCAAGCAATGAAGCAGAGTGCATAGGGTTAACTGAAACTTCAAAAGAAGCGATGCATTTGCGCTTGCGGGAGAAGTTTTTTTTTTTTTTTTCTTGGAAAAGACAACAGAACCAATTGTGTTGTATAATTAACGATAATCGATGTTGTATAATTAACGATAATAAGTGCACAGCATTTAGTAAAACCTCCAGTTCATCATTCTATAACAAAACGCATTGATACTCATTTTCATTACATTAGAGAGTTAGACATTACATTAGAGAAGCAACTCACGTTAAATATGTATCTACAGCAGAATCTGGACTCAGAATCTTGGCAGGGACAAACACTGAAAATGTACGAATTTAACAAATAAATGTGTTTTTCTGCTTTATTCCCTTTTCAGGTATGGGAAGAGGAGGTGTTAAGAAACTTGCATTCCCTCTTGCCCCTGTGCAGTACTGGAAAGAATGACAAGAGCAACTGTATTTAATCCCTAGTAGAAGTGAGTCTACGTATGGCCGTTGTGGCCATTATCGTGGCTGTAGCTGAAGCACTCATCATCGTGCAGCGACATGGAATGCTAATGTTGTCGAAGTTCATTAGAGTGTTAGATTCAAGGTCCCAGCTAATATCTACTACGCAGCAATGCATCGCATTATAATCAAGTACTTAATAGCATGTAATGCCAAGTGGACCCAATAGATATGATGCAGCGGTTATTATGATCAAGTAAACACCTATTTCTCTCATCTTGATTTTTCATATGTCATGTTGATATACACTGTTAATCTATTCTATTAAGTAAGACCAATTAAGCGTTATGTTATTCACTTGCATCTAGTCTTTTCCATGACGCACAAATTCTAATATGTAATCATCATTTAGCAGTGCATAAGAATTTATTATCACAATAATTCTGAAAGCAAAAACAGTTCTTATTACAAAAAAAAAAAAAAAAAAAAAAAAAAAAAAAAAAAAAAAAAACTTAACCTAGAATATTCAATTAGAAAACACTTATAAAATTTATTTTTATTATGTTACTTTTATGGTAATTCTCTCCTGCAACTTTTGGTTCTTCCGTCAGTCTCAGAATAACGAAAATTAGGTGGAGATTTAAAGGGTAATTTAGAGGAAGAGATTTGGAAATGCATCAACAAAGCTATTCCTATCCGGAACTGCCCATTTGTTAACCAACCTGATATCAGAGGGTTTTTTTATTATTATTATTATTATTCCTAGTGTGGAATCTAAATTCCACACTAGGAATGCGATGCTTAGAGATCGCGAATAATGCGAAGCTTATGTTGCATAGATATTTAATCTCTTTATTCTTTTGCAAACATTTAAGCATTTAGGGACCCCAAGCCTCTGCAAGGATAGGGGTTTATATAGTGCAAAAAAAGGTTTAGTTTTACTTCTTGTCTGAGTTGCTTAGGTTTCTAGAATTCAAGTTAATGCGCAAAGACGATAACACATTTAAGATTTGTCGAGGGAAAACTTAATAAAAAGCTTCTAAGCAAATCGACGGCCGTGAATATCTTTCTTCGGGGCTCCAAAATATGGGAATCGCAAGGGGAGAAATCTGGACTGTACGGAGGATGTGTAAACGTCTGCCAACGAAACTTCTGCAGCGTAGCCTTAACAACCGTTGCAGCATGTGGCGGGTATTTTCCTGCAACAGAACGATGACGTCCATCAACATTCCCGGGCGTCTGGACTAGATGGCGCGCTTCAAATTTTTCGTACGACTGTGCGTCATTTGTGGCGTCGTGTTCCAAAGGTCAATAAGCAACTCGTCTTTGTAGTCAAAGAAAAAGCTCAGCATGACTTTTCCGCGGCTTTAGATTTTTTTTTGGAGTGTGGAGGGAGGATTCGCATGTTTCCATTGTTGGCTCTGACATTTGCTTTCTGGCTCAAAATTATGGCACTATGTTTCATCTCCCGTAACAATAGAGGACAGGAAATTATATTTTTCATTGTAACACCATTCCAGGTGCTGCAATGATGTTTACATTCTGTTCACCTTCTTGTCTCCGTTAGGCTGGAGGAAACCCACTGCGCACTGATTTTTCAAAATTTCAGATGCTCTTTCTCAACATGGCGTGAGCGGCACCATGACTAATGCGCAACATGAGCCGGAATGTCGCCCTGGCCTTTTCTGACTGTCCTTTTTATCTTAGTAATTTTTTGGGGGGTGGGGAGGGACGGTTATTAGTGGTATTAAGGGAAGCGATCCGTTTTTAAAAAATAGCTTTTGCCATTCTGTTTCTGAATTAGTTTCTAATCACTAACATCTGAGGAATTATCCTTTCAAAGGTTTTTAAGGGAGCGAGGGGTGTTATATAGTTTTTGAAAATTTTTATTTTCAAACAGTGTCGGAATTTGGAGCTTTGAAGATCTCAAACATGTTCATTAGTTACAACTGCGTGCATATATATTTACCATTACATATTCAAAATGTTTTAAATCTTTTCTCTTTTAAAGATTAAAATACTTCTTTTCAGTATTCAAGAAGTAGAGAAGAAGGCCCTTCTGTTGGAGAGGAATTAAATTATTTATTGGATAAACGAAGCTGAATCGAATGTGGGAATTACCGGTAGGGCTACAAGGGTAATGCTTGTTGCAGCGTTAGTATGGGGTATGGTCACGCCTAGCATTATTTAATATAAGAAGTATGTTAAGTATAATAAATTTGATGTATGAACTTTAACTTTTTAGTGGAAAAAAAAGTTACTCTTAATTTAAAGAATAATCAATTCCTGATTTTCATAAGTTGCAGAATAAAAATGTTAGGAATATTTACGAATATGTTTTAATACCTGTTAAGTTTTTAATTATTTTCTGTATAAATAAGTCTTATTTCCCTCTATTCGTAGTACATTACAGAAAACATTAAAAATCAATACTGTATTATTAATACTATCAAATTATTAATGATTTTACATTAATTATTCCCACTTATTTTAAAAATATACCGAATGATAAATACTGCCGATTATTATTTAGCCTCTTCCTCCTAAATAAAGCTCATTTCTTCTAAAATGTTTAGGCTTAAACGGTTTTTGTCGTTACGTGTACTATGTTTCAGTAAATGTTTAGTCACATACATTACTTATGTTGCACACATCATTTAAACTATATTCGAAACTAAATGAAGAAAATAAATTGTTGATTTGGGGCATAAAACAGTTACAATAAACTAATTTTTTTTTTTTTTTTCGTTACCTTTCTTTTTCTCTTCCTTTTCAAATCGTCGTTCTTCATATTTCTTGTCTCGGCTAGGCAAAGCACAGATCTTAACATGAAACGTCCGTTGGCCTATTACTATACCTCTAATTTAACAGAATATCCATTAAAACATGAAAAAAATATTTTAATGACAATATGCATAAAATAAATCTATGGAAATTTTTATACACTTTTCTAACGAAAAGGAAAATTCAAGAAGTACATATACAGTCAAAAGTCGTTAATTCGGATACCCATAATCCGGAATGATCTATAATCTGGACCTCAAAGCTACAAACTTTCTGCGCATGCATCGCGTTGACGCATACGCATAGGCGTTTACGCGTGCGCGTAAGCTCTTTACGGCTGCGAATGTGCATGTGCGCAAGCGCATAATACGTTTGCGAATGCGCGTTTAATGTATAACGGACGGTAAGCTAAGCTAAAATTATCTAATTCAGTTAATGTTGCAGATTGCGTCGTTCCTTAATCTTCAAATTGGATCCGGCTTATTATTTTTTGCAGACTGTTAGAGCAATTTTATAAAAGTAAGCTTGAACTTTCGATTATGTCAAATAGAATTTCCAATATATATTTACTAATATGTAAATGATCTATAAAGCGAAAGTATGTTTTGAAATCCGAAATCTGTTTATCAATTTCACGCTGCTCTGCGGCAGTGAGAGGGGGGGGGGGAAACGCCAACGCTGGAAGTTGATCTGTCAGCACTATCCTTATCTTCAGGGCAGATGTTTTTATTTTATTTGGCTTATAATTCCTTAATAAATGTAGTATTTCATCTCGATGTACTCCGTCTTTGATATGATTTAAATCAAGTTCCTCGTCATTATAATTCGCTTCCGATAGTGAAGAAAGTGACAGAGAGGTTATTGAAAACGAAAACATTTCGATTGACAAATTAGTCGGTATTCTCGACACAGCAATTATAGGACTGAACAGCAGAAATTTGTAACTGAACAAGAAAATTATGTCTGTTTAATAGAATTAAAGAGAAAGTATTATCACATGAAACGAAGCAACTTAAACAACTTACATTGAAAGAAATGTTTAATAAAGTAAACAAATAAATATTAAACTATTTCTTTTTGTAAATTTTGATACCCTTTAGATCATAATTGTTCTTTATTTCATAAATTACGGTTTCATATTTTTAATTTTGTAATTTCTGCATGCCATCTTACCAGATTTAAAATGATGATCTATAATCCGGAAAAATCGATAATCAGGAATCGCCGAAGTCCCGACGAGTCCGGATTAACGACTTTTGACTGTATATAAATAATCGATACACCACAGAAACCTGGCACTTTCTTGTAAATTTTTGGAAAGTTTTACTAGTTGCCAGGATTTAAAGAATAACCTGTTTAAAGTCACGTTATCATAAAAAACTGCAAGAAGGACTTTCCTAAGAATTAACAAACACAGAAAATAAAACGTGCTCTAGCGGATGTGAAAGAAATATTTGTATGTTTTCATCAATTTAAAATTTAACATAAATTACATACAGTTTACAAATATAGCATGCATTGTTTATTTCTTTGCCTAAGTTTTTTCTACCATGTAAGGAAAATGAAGAAGGAAAAAAAGTTACTATTATAAGCGCTTGTCTTTAGTTGCGTCAAATACCTTGGCACTAGCTTTGATTGTCATACAAAACGAAATAAAGTAACTTAAGCTATGAATTGAAATTTTATTGAATATAGAAACATAATATTAGAAAACTATGGTTGGTTTAAGATGTTTTTAGCGCATTAGAAAATAACGTATTGCTGCAAAACAGAATGTATGATTTTGAAATTATTTTTATAACAAATAGGTGTAATTCGTGCATTTTTCTTAAAAACATAAAACATTTGGTCAACCAAACAGCTTCTCAAACCGTTCGTCATTATCTTTTAGGACGTGATAAAATCCGGGATGGTTAAGTTATGCAAATCATCTTTAGCTTCTGCGATCTAGTTCTACGCGTCTAAGACTCCAAACTGAATAGGAATACGGTTTGTCTAAGTCTTTAAAACCAATCAGGCATTTAAAGTATTAAATGGACGCATTCATATCGTTTATAGAATTAGATATACATATTCATAGCATTTGAAGAATCGGATAGACATGTTCATATTCTTTGAGCAAGCAAAATTCTAAATTGAATACCTAATTCTTTGCATGCCAGATAAACGAAATTCTTCAATTAAAAATTAAAAATATCGTGAAATAAAATTAGAAAATAATTATTATTGGCTCATTTGGTCTGAAATACTAAATCATTTATGAATTTCATTCCAAGTTTGCACCTTTAAAAAATGTAAACTGCAAAAATATTCAAAGAAAATAACTGTAACCGAAAAACAATAATGTTAAGTACCCTTGCTATCAACAATATTATATTTTATTTATCAATTAATTTATCCTTCATTAAGAGACAATTTCCTTTAGAATTATCTAAAATACTTACCCTATTTCAAGGGTGAATACCACCATTAAGGGCCTTCTGTTTGGTCCACCAGAACAGGATCCAAAACAAGCAAATTTATAGGTATAGGTAGAAAATGTTTTTCCGCCTAAAACCGAAATTAAATGCATTTAGAAAGCGATCTCGCTTGACAAAAATTTATAACACATTCATCTTGTGATAAAATTTCAGTTCCAATAATTAGATATACAACAGCTGTAATGTGTTTCTTGAAACCTGAAATAATTTTAATTTGCTAGAAAGTACTAGTAACTATTAGGATATTACCAAATGGAACAATGACACTGTGACGACCGGTGAACCTATCAACTTGATAAGACGCCTTAGAGTTTTCGCAGCGAATAAGATGTTCAGCTTCATAAATTCCTTAAAAAAATAGAATAACATTTTTAGTAAACATTAAACAGTAAAATAGCATACACACACATATTATACATAAACAATTTAGAATGAAAACTGAAAAAAATTAATCATAAAATATTTTAAAATATAGTATATGGATATAAAATAAAAAGAAACCTGTGACAGCGAAGACCTCGTTAAGAGGTTCTTTTAGAAAGGTGACGAGTACTCTTCAGAATACAATTAACTAACTCAACTGAAAATTGTTGATAATTACTTTTAAGACAACCATCTCTCGAGAAAATCAAAATTATTTGTAAACGTGAAAGAATCTCTTAGGCAAGTTTCAGTATAAATACAAATTATGTTAACTTCTAAATATTTTTCAACATGTAATAAACTTCACAAGACTGGAAATGAGGGCAGTTCATTTCCTATCAAAGCTTGTTAGATGCAATATTGTAAGCAAATGCTAATTTAAAATTTTTGCAAGAATTGGCTCTAAGTATGTACTAATATGGTTATCATACCCTCCTTGTAAATGGTAAACTTTCATCGCTAACCGAACGTCGGAAATCTGAGAGGCTTTGCAGATATTTCATTGAAATTTTCCATCGGAATTTAATCCAGCAGACCTTTGCTTCGAGAGTTTTCCCAGAACAGCTTGTAATAAATCGGCTGTGATAGCAGCTCCCTAGTTGGCTGAAAAAAGGCTTGACCAAGTTCTGAACTAACCAAGGTCACTGAGGATAAAGGTGCGTTGAATTGAACGATAGGTTACATATTTTCATTTCATATGGAATTGGAAAACGCAACTTCGGGTCAGAGCCGGATTTAGAATTGATGAAGCCCTAAGCTATTTAAGATATGGGCCCTTTATAAGTCTATTATACTATATTTTAATACTATAGTTATACCATATTTAAATTTTTTGGATCCCCCCACCCAAGAAAGTGGGGCGCCCTAAGCTAAAGCTTGTGTAGATTATGCGTAAATTCTCCACTGCTTCATGTACACTTTTATTAACATAACTTCCTTATGAAAAATTGTCCTAGTTCTGTACTATTGTAAAAGATTTATCAAAAATTTCAAGGTACAAAACCATTTGCCAAGTTGTAAGCTTTTGAGTGAAATCCCGCCTATAACTGCTTTGGAATACAAAAAAGTACTAGTATCATGGGTACCGCACGCGTATTTTAAAAATGACATACATTTATTAAATTGCCAGAAGTCTTTTAAAAGCAGTGCATTGGTGGTATTGAAGACTTCCTCGAAGACGAGGGCCCACCAGCGACTGAGCGGTGAAGTGGCTGAACAATGGTAATTCTATCCGGGGTTCGAATCCCGACGAAAAGACTGCCTGGGCGTTTATGGAATAAACGTTTTTGTGTTTGTCCCCATGTGTAACTTGAATATGAACCAGCTTCCCTTATGAAGTCCTCACGAAGGCATCTCTTTCCCTTATGCAAATAACCCTATGCTATGAGTGATTTACTATAAACAAACCAATCCGGACCAAAGCAAATCATTGCAGACGACCTCATAAGGGTAGGATGCCGCATTCTACGTTAAATTATAATGCTAAAAATCCACTAATTATTTTATCTGCTAGCAGACTGAGTGAACTTTTACTTAAGTAGTATCATATCGTATACTTGTATGCAGGACCTATAGTGCTAGATTACATTTTAAAACAATTATTGGAACAAAGAAGCTCATTAATTTTTTCCTGTTTTTAATAGAATGTAATAGTAACAATTAATATTAGATCGATAAAAATGGATTCGACTACGTCAAATTAACTGATTTATTCGATTCATTTCGCATTACGAATAACTTTAACAGCATTACATTAACAGAAATTGCTTTCGGACATACATTTAAAATACACAGACATGTCCAAAACACACAACTCTCAATATATCGTCCACTGACCTTCATCAGTAGCAGCGTTACCTCCCCTTCGTGGCAACTATATATTTTTATTTTCCTATTAAATTTTTGTTTCTTTCTTGACACATCCACAAAATTTCGATATACAGATGCTGAGAACTATTGACCACACTTTAATTGTACAATAAGAGCCAATATTTATGTGCAATAAGGGCTAGTCCATCGCGTTTCATTATTTGAAAAAGCATTAAATTTCTGTTCTAGGTTTCAAGTAAAAGTCCTGTAGTCTTTCATTAATCAGTAGCTAAGTGGATAATACTGTTGAATACTGATAGTTTAACTTTGGTTCAAATGCCAATAAAAAAAGCCGTATGTATAGAGTTTTTCCATTTTCTCATATGTAACGTAAACTGGAGCCAGCTTTCCTTAGAAAAATCCTCCATGGAGGTATCCCTTTAAAGACAGCTCTCGTGTTCTTTGCTTTAATGGAGTAACCCACTATGGAATCTTTATCTGTTTTTAAGATTTCTCGAAAAACACAGAGTTTTGCATAACAGTTACACTGTTTTCACGACGCATCAAAGTAATATATGCAGTGTAATTTGCTGTTGTTGCAGCTTCTGATAAACTATTCCTGTTCCTGTACCATTTTTCTGTTATAAATGCATACAAGACTCGATTAACGGAACTGCAGGCCCAGGATGATTTTGTTTCCGAGCTCCTTTCCCCCTATCATTTTTTTCAATCTAGTAAATACTCTAGAATAGAAAATTTACAGAAAATTTTACATATTTTAATTACTACAGAAGAATTTTTAAGGCCTAATTGGGAGACCAGGGAAACGTAATTCGTTTGCCCTTCCAAAATCAGGCCTTGCATACATAAACCGGGGGAGGAGAATCTCCTTGTTTCTTTCTTCAGCACATTTTATATAACTTTTGTGTAATTTTAAAAACTATAAAGCAGGTCTAAAAGGCATTATTTAAAATTACATTACCCTTTTGAATTTCTTCTATGGAATGAGTAACACAGCGTTGAACTATATCAGCGGAGTGTTCAGGTGAGCTGAAAAGAGCCATTGCTCGAATATACACATTATCAGGCAAGACTGAATTCACTGAAAAGTTGACTGCACAGGGAACAGATTTAGCTACATAAAGTTTCTCTGTTTTACTGGAGTACTGAAACAGAGAATAGAATTTTCAAATATGTTAAAAGAACTAAATGGAAGAATAAATAATAAATACACGTTATTCGAAGACACAAAACTCCATTATTGAGCATCATGAGCTTTAAAAACTTATATATATTATTACTGATTGTTTTTTATTTCGCAGATCGTTGCCCCAATTATTTTTTTAGGTACTTTTCCATTTCGCCGGCGCAAATCTCTCCAAGCAGACTTTGTTGGCGACAACATACAGTATAAACATAAAAAATGTTAGTTCTAATAAAGAAAGACAATAAATTTGTAAAAAAGACATTAATTTAAGAATTTACTATGCTGGTTCAACATCCTGATTCACCGGTTTGGATCACGTGACCCCAAGTGATCTCATCTCACGTAAACTACGTTACAAAAATATAATTCTCTCAGTTATTATCTACATTAATTTCAAGTTAAATCTTAATTTGGAGTACAAGTTTAAATGCAAGAATTATTTCAATTCTTACGAATTCTTACTGAGAAATTATGTAAAACCGCAGTGCTTTACTTCGCTAGTGTATTCTCATTAGAATTGGTGAATTTAACTCTTGATTTTGCCTTTCCTATATTTTCGCCTTCCGGTGAGCGGTGTGATTGCATCCTAATTAACTTAATTACCGCGAATGGTCGTAGGGCATAAAATTTAATTATCTTTGTAAATATTCTATAAATGGATTTATGTAATTGTGTGCCAGTACTGAAAGAAACAATCAATCTGGTAAGAAATGGCTGCGATTTGTTTTGAAAATGAGGCGTAAAAGGTTACCAGCGAAGATATTCCGTTTGACATCAGTTGTACCATTATTGGCGACTTTATCGTTTGCGCCGGTAAAACGGAAAAGTACCATTTTTTATACTGTACTCAATCTGGATTTAAAACTAAATCTGTGTTTAAAACTAAGTTTGAAATCGAATCATTCGTTATTTACCTTCAATAGGTAAAATAAAGAAAAAGAGTAATATTCAAAGTAGAAAACTTACGCTCCAAGCAAGTCTGTCCGGGTCACTTTCTTCATATGAAAACGCTGCATCAAATCCAAATTTGCCAGGCCAGTTTTTGCTGTTATGAAACGAACAGAGCAAAAATATATACCAATTATTAGCTTTTGGTCATCTATTGTAAAAAAAATTTTTTTTACTTACTAGCTTGGCAGTGGAGAAGGTTTGGGGCTTACAGCTGACACATTCTGAGGCACCTGAATAGATGCAGCAAGCATACCAATTTGTTCCTACAAATTTACGATAATGATATATATATATAAGTACAGTTAGTGCAAAAAAAAAGGTTAAAGATTCACTAAAAAAATATATTTTAAAATATATTTATAAAAAAAAAAAAAATACAGGGTTGATTTACATTATATTGTTTTCAATTAAAGCGAACTGCTTAAACTGGGAAGCTCTCGAATATTAAGAAGACTGCTAACGGAAAAAGCCACTTTAAATTCGTAAATTAATGATAAGAAAACTCTAACAGAAGAATATCTGAACATAAATAAAAATTAAAATAAATAAATAAATAAATAAATAAAGTGATATTCAATGAAAATACAGAAAAGATAGCAATAAATAGAGATTACAATAAATTAACCTTTTCATAAGCTGTATAATTTTCTGCAAATTTATATATGTTTAAAAATACCTAAGATTTTCTGCAATTTCTTTAACAAAATTTATTTTCAAATATACATTTAATTTGATTTCCCGAAACGGCATCTGATGCATCAACGCTAAAGGCTTCCTTTTCGAAGGAATTTTCTTTGAATTTTTATTATTTTACAAAACAAAATAAGCACTCAGTTATAAGTAATTAAATTTCATATTAGATAACCTTAGTCATATAGATTTACATTGAATTTATCAAATTAAATTTATTTTTTAATAATATTTGTTTAAAAAACTCCTATTAATATCACAATCTAATAAAATTTCACAGTTTAAAATACATGCAATTTATGACATTGATTTTTAAACAATATTACGATAATTACACATTAAACATTTATGTTTTGTAGCAACAAAACTCAACAAAATAATTATAATAATTATGCGTCTTTTTAATTTGAAGGCCTGCCCAGACATTTTGGCTAATTTATATCGATTTCCTTCTCCTTAAGCATCTCCTCTAACAATTAGAAATTTGTCTCAATACGCAAAACAATGTTGTCATTAGTTTCAGCCTGTTTTATCTCCTAACTGTCAACCTCTCCATAATGTACTACCTATGAGGGTTTACTTGATCTAGTAAAAGTTAAATAGTCCACCACCCCCTCCCCAGACAGACGTGAAACAAATTATGGCTACGTCTGAAAGTAACTATAAATCAGAGGTTTAAATAAGCTTCTTATTTAAAAAGAATTTAGAACATAAAGGCATGTTCATATGCTAACAAAATCAATTACAGCTCGTGGTGATGTAATTAAACAAGCAGAGTCAAATTCAAACTAAAAATATGGACTAGTGGTCAAAGACAAGTGATCAATTTAATTTCAATTTAATATGGTTCAATAACTCTATCGCATAATATACTCAAATGTCAGCAGGGGTAACAGAAATTATCAGAGCTGATAGGAACTAATACAGGAAGCAAGTGGAGGTCAGTTTAGTTCGTTTCTTCAATACGTTTCCTTTTCACTTTATAATTTTTGGATTTAATTAAAGATTTCTGTTATTCTGAAAGACAAAATGCACTTAGAATGTATAGAAAAAGCTGCTAATTTTATTTCTTTAGTAATATAATACGAACATTCAGAAGAAATATGAAATACATATGATAAGGTCTGGCCACAGAGCTGCTGTGGCATAATTTTTAGAATTTAGTGACACACCGAGCAACAAAATCTAGAAATGGCAAAACTTTTAGAATTTAGAGCAGGCATTGGAAGCAGAATTTAGAAAGGCACCAGGCAGCAGAATTTAGGATCCACAGAGATTGCACACAGGTGGCAAAATGCCTAGCGCCAGCCCTGTGTATGATGCATTAAGACATATTAGATGAATTTTTTGAATTGTCAGTTTTCAATTTCTTTATTAATAAAAAAATTCTTTTCTATATTTGCCTGTCCATATGATAAGATTAAAAGCATTTTTGATATTTTCCATGTTTGTGTCTAGTGGAAAGTAGAGAAAGAGAAAACTGATGCATATTCTGAGAATTCTGAACATTCTGAGAAATGGGAAAAACTCTTACCATGGAAAAATTAAAAAGACGTTTTTAATTAATTACATAGCTATTTTGCTTTTGCTAAGTTTGTACAATGTACTGTTTCGTACATTGTGCTTTATAGCATTATACCTTGCTTATTTTTCAGATTCAAAACATTATATAATATGTGGCCAAAATGGAACTTTATTATATGACAGTGAAAAATAAAAAGGCTTTATTTTAATGTTTGTTTCTTAAATATTATTCCAATGCATTACCATTATTTTAATGAAATTTATCAGTGTTAGAATGTTCTAAAAAAGTTGCCAAAAATTTCCCAGATTTCGGATTGGATTATTTTAATTGTGGCAAAGCACACGAGGGCTATCTGCCTAAAGGGAGGGATGCCTTCGTGGAGGACTTTCTAAGGGAAACTGGCTCGTATACACGTTACACATGCGAACCACTAAAAAACCCATGCAGTCAGCCCGTTTGCGGGATTCGAACCTCAGACCGAACTACCAGTGTTCAGCGTCTTTACCGCTCGGCCGCTGGTCGGCTCCCAGATTTCGGAATTAAAAATTTTCCATAGAAATCGATCTTAAAATCGCCAAAATGTTGATAATTCGCCAAATTTAGAACCATTTAATAAAAGAAATCACATCCCCAAAAGCAGAAAGTTGTCTGAGAGCTCTTCATTACAAAAAATGAAATAATTTCGAAATGCTTATGTTTCACTTTTTGGTCAGAAACTCGAGTATCCTACCAGTTATATTACAAATAGGAACAAATTATAACCCATGAACCCATTCACCTATTCAAAAAATAACCATATTTGTCAGTGAATCGCCAAAAATATTGCTGCAAAATGCTAATTCACACTCAAAATGGCAGTCGTAAAAACAGACAGAAATTTCAGATTATTAAAATTAGGGACCTTCTGCCGATTTTGGCCGAAATTAAGAACTTTTAAGGACCAAAAATCGATTCCAAAAAACTTAAGGACTTTTAAGGACTCTTAAGGACCGTACGAACCCTGAAGAAGCACTGCTTAAAACTTAACAGATACCTGACCTATGTATTATTATAAAGCACTACGAAAATCAGTAGACTGCAAATCTGATTTTTTGGATTGCATCCTCTTTGAATTGTAATTAAATCAGTTTTCCAAAAGTAAGTTTATCCATTACGTTAATCGATTAAGGCAAAACAACTCGAGAATTAAAAGCCTATGGGAAGAGACGCATTCGTAGAGGACTTTATAAGGAAAACTGGTTCACATCTATGTTAAAGAAAGACAAAACCACAAAAATGCCATGCAGTCCGTCCTTTCTCTGAGATTTTCTTGAGTCTAATTACCAGCTTTTAGCGACTTTACTGCTAGGCCGCTGGTGAACTTTGAATTAAAGAGAGAAGATTAGAAGGGTTTTGGCGCTAAAAACGAGATTAACAAAGTAAATCTATAAGAAGTTAAATATATTATTGTCACATGTACTTAGGAAGTAGCAGTTGGCACATTCATTTAGTAACTGAAAAGTCTCAGGTTCGATTCTCAATAAAGCAGAGTTAATTTTCCATGATTTCTGCTCGAGTAATATACTAAATGTAATAGTAGTCGAGTAATATTGCTCGACTAAAATATCGAGTGATTTTACATTGGCGTTTGAATTTAAATATGACAGACATTGACACGTGGCCGACAGCATATCGCTTCGCCTTTCCCTTACATTAAGGAATTAAAAGGAATTGAAGACATATATTGAAGCTACAGTACAGGACACATGGAATCCCTCTCATATACTTCAGATGCTTTGGTATTTTAGTAGTCAGTACAACCAGCTAATAACAAAAAAATAGGCAAGTTCGATTCACGGCAAAAGCACGTCTGATTTTCAAGACTTTCTGCTTAAAGGAAAAAAGATAGTAGTTGCAATGAATCAATCACTTGCGAATTTTCAGAGTGCATATAATATGGTCAACTCATGGAAGGAAAAACCGAAGGCGAATTCTGAATATACATTCTTAATAATACCGAAAAGTTTTCATATGTTATGTGCATCAGAAATTTATAATTAAAATTGGTATATTATGATTAAATTTGGTACTGAAATTGATTCAGAATTCTACTTGCAAATTCACTAACGTTAATTATGTAGTCTTTAATTCTTTTTCAAAACCAAGAACTGATAAATCAGTAGCCAAAAGGTAAACCGCTGAATACTTGAAGTTCGACTCTGACGCTAATTTCGGTAAGGCGATTGACGAAATTCAAACTGCGTTTTTCATGTCTCGAAAGCGCGACTTAGGATATATATATATTAGATTTATATATAGCATTATTCTAACATAGGTATTTTGACACAAAATCGGGCTTTTCTGAAATAACATGCCAATTTTTTTTTTTTTTTTTCCATATTTCGATTCTACTACTCAAATTAGTGCTAAATATGAAATTTTGTAAAATTTGGTGCGAAATTTATGGAGAAATTAAAAAAATTATCTTGGCGCTATCTTTTCAGATTGCACCAAGAATAGTTCACTCGACGAACTTCTTAATATACGGCAACCTATTTTCCTTTCCCTTTTTACATTGTGCGGGAGCGGAAAAATCACTTCGTTCTTTCTTTCAAATAATGTTCTTTATTAAGACACAATAACACGCCGAATAAATACTAATTCAGAAGTCAAACAACAAAAATCAGCGTTAATTTACAAAATTTTCACAGGACTAGTTTCGATGGTTTTACCGAACCATCATCTTCAGCTGCAAAACCGCAAAATTCATTCATTTGCGGTTTTGCAGCTGAAGATGATGGTTCGGTAAAACCATCGAAACTAGTCCTGTGAAAATTTTGTAAATTAACGCTGATTTTTGTTGTTTGACTTCTGAATTAGTAATGTTCTTTATATTATATTTTTAATTTTAATTGTTATTAATTTAAATAATTTTTTTCTTTTTCGAATTTCGTTTTAATTGCATGGTTTCTTTCAAATAACTGTTTTAAAAATTTCTCTTTACTCATTCAAACTGCGTAGTTTAAATAAGAGGTGCGTCGTTTATATTTTCTTTAAATAGTTTCCTTTACAATATTTTTTAGACATGGTTATTATTTTAGATAATTTTTAAATTTTTAGACTTTTATTTTAATTGTTTGTGTTGCATTGTCTCTTCAGATAATTGTTTTAAAATTTTCTATTCATTCAACGGAAATTCGAACTGCGCATTTTAAATATATTTATTAATATAAATTTTCCAGTATTGGATTTTATTTATTTGAATTGCATTTCTTTCGGAAGAATACTTTGTGACCCAGACTACGAAGCGTTTGAAAACTGCATATATTAAGGGGACAGTGGACGATGATTTTAGCAAAAATCGACCAAAAATTAGAAAATAAAAATTTCATATGATAATATTCTTCGGTTTTAACTCTATCGACAACAAAAAAACGCTTTTATGTAAAATTATTTTTAAAGAAGTTATAAGCGTTTGAATAAGCTTGTTTACCTTTTTTGTGACATTTAAAGGGACATTTAAATGGCAATAAAGAGATAAACAAACATTTGAGAAAAATTTCTTTTAATTTCCGCGATACTATTTTTACTGTTAGTAAGATATAAATGTGTAAGGTTATGAAGACTGCTATTTATGCAAGTTTGTTTCACGGATGAGTTACCAAGACATTATAAATACCCAACATATGTCAAAAGAGAAAATATAGTAAAGCATAGTTAACACGCCTTTCATTGTTCCGTTCAGAAAAGATATATAAATTAGAGATGTTTATCCGGCATTTTAATTTAAGATGACTTGCATACATTGCTTTAAACAGTTTTATCATTATGTCCATTGCTTTACACAATTTTACCATCCTACATTTAATTTCTTAAAATGTTATTCATATTTTAGTCAAATATTTTATTTTTTTGAAATCTCAAGAATCAACTATCAAAAATTTTAAAGTAAAAAAATACTAAATTTTATGCAAAAATTAATTTTTTCTTCTCAATGGCTTATTCTTTTTCTTCAGGCATTCTGCAACTATATTAAAAAGCATGCAACTTTTCGAAACATCTTGGTAGTTCTGACATTAATTTTAAATACACTTATTGCGTTCCATTTCAAAAGGACCCATAAACGGCCGAGCGGTAAAGCCGCTGAAAACTCGTAGGGTCCAGGGCTCGAATCCCAGCGAACGGGCTGGTTGCATGGGCGTTTTCGTGGTTTTTCTCATGTGTAACGTGTATACAAGCTGGTTTCCCTTACAAAGTTCTTCATGAAGGCATCTCTCCATTTAGGCAGATAGCTCTGCTTTGCCGTAACTTAGGCATCTCTCCATTTAGGCAGATAGCCCCGCTTTGCCGTAACTTAAGAATCCATTTCATCAGTATTTGGTCAGAGCCTTTATCAGTCTTTAGAGACTAGGCATTTTGAAGGCATGAGATGAAAGGAAAGACTAGTTTCATCAAGAGGGAAAACGTATTTAGGCGATATTCATATACGTCACTGAATCTGCAAGTAATTCGACTGAGAAATCATGGGGATGCTCCGTTTATAATACGATATGATGTTCTATGACGTAATTTAAATTTATACAACCCTATAGTCGAAAACCAGTCGCTCTTCACTTTAATCTGCAAATGATATCGTTTTCGTCTTTTCTGTTAGCACAAACTCAATTGCTGCTAGTATTTGCTGTACACGTCCAAGTGTTTACACCCAACTTCCTCGACGAATGACTTTGCTTCTTTCGCCCTAATTTCCTTCTTTTCTTCTACATTTGTTTTCGGTACTGACACAAGAAAATTGAGATTTTTCGATTGTTACACTTCCATAAATTTTGCATTCTTGTCAAACTTTTTAAAATATCAGGTGCATCAAATGCGTTTCAGCTGAAGACAGCTTTTCTAGTCATTTTAATTTTAACAATACATAAAAATTAAAGAAAAGTCCAACAGATCAAGATTTGAATTAAAAGATTTTTGTTAAATGAAAAAGAAATAAACCACTCCAGCTGCGCTTATCCTGTACCACCGAGTGACCTGGGTTCAAACAATCTAAATCATATTATTTAGAGTTTTTAAGCCTAATAATTTCTATATTAAAGAACATGTTATTTATATAATCTACAATACGAGAGAAAAATGCTACTTGAAACAGTCTTTCTAAAAAGAGAATTAATGTAAAAATTTATATTTATATATATTTTTTTCAAAGCTGGCACATGAACTAAACTGTCAACGTCTTGTTTGCTTAAAAACATTGTGAAAATAATTTTCAAACGAACTTTCTTAGTTTTAGACAATTCAATTTAAATGCAGCTAAAGTATCAGACGATTACATGGCGAAGGTAAAAATTTACTCTTACAAATATATATTTAAAAAAGAAAAAAAAAGAAAAAAAAAATATATAAAATTTGCTGGTTCAGAGAAAACAAGGAAAATTTTTCTAAAGGTTTTATAGTTATTACTTGGATTCTCTTATAACGGAAAATTTAAAATAAGGAAAGTAGGAGAAAAAAATCTGAAATGTTTTAGATTTTAAATTACGTCCAAAGAGGCGTTTTTTTACCGCTCTGTGTGTTACCTTTATTTATTAAATATCATCACAATGCGAGAAATATACATACATTTATGCAGATTTTTCATTATTTAATTTGTTCAAATATAATGCACGATTCTAACATTTTGTGGCAAAGTTTGAAAAGTGAACCGACATTTATAGGAATCCGACGCAAAATGCCAGAATGTAAGTAATAGTCCTTCGGGGACTCAAATCCCTTTGGACTAGAAAAAGTTAAAAATTTGAATAATATCATCAATAAATTTTTAAAAAATAGCTTTTCATATGGTATTAATAAATATTTATTACGCATCACTGACCGAGAAAATTTCACATAACTAATTCTCCGTAAAAATTTATTTTAAATTTAAGGTTAAAAATAGCTGTGGCAATTCACTGTAACAAAATCCATAAACCACATTTGGCGTTATTATCGCTCGAAAAAAAATAAAAATAAAAAATAAAAATAAATAAATAAAAAAAAAAAAAAAATAAAGCGAAATTTCAAAACACGAAAATAAATAAATTCGTGTATATTTTAGAAAATTTTGGTGTGATGTATTTAATTATGGCAAAGCACACTAGGGCTATCTGCCTAAGGGGAGGGATGCCTTCGTGGAGGACTTTCTAAGGGAAACTGGCTCGTATACACGTTACACATGAGGAAAACCACGAAAATACCCATGCAGCTAGCCCGTTTGCGGGATTCGAGCCTCAAACCGAACTACCAGCGTTCAGCGACTTTACCGCTCGGCCGTTGGTGGGCCCCTTTAGAAAATTTTGAATAAAAAAACTAATTTTTTGCAAGTATGCTTAAAAATATACCTATTTTAAGACAATAGTAAAAATTTTACAGGTTATATAACACAAAATGTTTTTCGAAAAATTTATAAGAATAATTTTAAAATACATGATAAAAAAATGGGTGAATTTTATTTGGAATGAACCTAAATTTCGAAATATAAAAGAAAGAATAAAAAAAGTTTAATAAAAAAGGGATATTAATAAATATATGCCAAATTCAATTAATACTGAGGAGTTAAAATTTTGACAGCTAATTTTTAAAAAACTACTCGTGCGATTTTTACAAAACTTGGCAGTATGGCATAATTCAAGTCGTAGAATCGAAGCATGGAAAAAGTTGGAATGTTATTTCAGAAAAAGTCTGATTTTGTGTCAATATCCGTATGTTAGAATAATGCTATATATAAATCTAATATATATCCTAAGTTGCGCTTTCGAGACATGAAAAACGCAATTTTAATTTCGTCAATCGGCACAGTAGAACGGCAGATATAGTAGAACTGTTCCCCTTTTTTTTCCGCAGCGTAAAAGAAAGTAGAAAGGGAATTGCATAAATTTAGTTTATAAAAAATGAAAGTTGCATTTTTTTAACATATTTTGATTTACCTAACTTAAGTTTATTTTGCGTGCATACAAATTTGTCAAAACCGATTATTTGAAAAAAAAAAAAAAAAAAAAAAAAAAAAAAAAAAAGATGCCTAACGAATTTACACAGTTGTAAAATTTTCATTCAGAAATGTTTCATTAATGTTTTTTATAAATAAAATTGCAAAAGAAATAAAGATATAAAATATATCTGTTAATTATTAAATTAGTTAGATTTTTTTTTAGTTCCCAATTAATGCTGTTATTAAAAAGTTATTTTCAATTTTCCTCTCCCTAATGTATTTTGTTTTTTTAAAATATATCATTAAAAATTCAAAAACCAATCTAAAAGTTAATACTAATTTATATTTTTGTCTTAACGGTAACGCATCTAATAATTTCAGACTTAAAAATGCATTTACGGCCTATTATCAAAGCAAAGATGCATTGCTTATATAACCCATCATCTTTTAAATATTTTAAAAAGTAGACCTAATTGTAGTGAAATTAAAAAAAGAAAAAATAAATTGTTAACTTTATAAGTCTCCTGTAACTGCTTAATAATAAAAGGGTGAGAATTCAAATAATGCAATTCCACTCCTTAAAATTCTAACGATCGCTGTGACAGTTAACAGTTGTTAATAATGACAAATAAAAATATGCACACATACATATTTCTTACTATTTTAATAATTGATGCTAAAATGTTAATGTAAAATTAGTGATTTATAATTAAAAGAATGGCAAATTTCTAAGCAGAAATTTTAAATTATTCTTCACAGTTAACAATAATTTCTTCTTTCATCCCATAATTTTAAATTATAATAACACATTATATTATTCTTATAACAGATAAGAAAAATAACTATTTAAAAAATGCTAAAATACGTACTAATAAACAGCTACAGCAGCGTGCAGAAGATTTACACTGGCAAAATAAAGAACTGGGCGTCTTCCGCTTCATGTCAAGTCAGAGCAAAACCTGAAACTAACAGCTATGAGAGGTAGGCGAGCAAGCGACCTGATCCTCTTCCCCTCTTCTCCTGAAGGCAACAAGAACGGACTTGTCTATTGCGTCAACAGCCGCGCATCAAAGCGATAAAACGTCATTTCAGCTATCGGGGCTGTGAGCTATCTGAACGAAATGCCAAGTTGTTTTCATTGCAAAGCTACAAGTTTAAACATGGTACGCTGCGAACGAAAACTGCTTCGAAAGCGAAACCGCAGCTTTTGCCATCTCTAAAACTCAGTGTAGTTCTCGAAATTTGTTCGTAATTAGTATTTTTTTTTTTTTTTTTTTTTTTTTAAGCCCGGGCTTTTAGTTCTCGAAGCAGTTCACTATAGACGGCGTATCACTTTTTAAATTGTTGCCATCACATATTATCGCCTTGTATTATATTAAAAGAAATTAAATAATGAAGAATCTGCATGAATGTATGTATGTTTCCCGCACTGTGAAAAAAACGGTGGTACCTAGAGCCATCAAATTTTGAATAACGTAATTATCCACTCAAACATGGGCACATGGAAGCCCGAATTTTGAATTTCGAATTTGTTTAATTATCTGTTTCATATTTTGTAAAACTTTAACGAATTTTTAATTAATAAACTCAACGATTTCAAAGTGAGCAATGGCAACACTGTACGAGGGGGGGGATTATCTCAAACACACACAAGACTGTCTATCGGAAATTCTGAAGATAATGCTGTTTTTAAATATTTTGTGATATTGCTGTTGAATTGAATTTTACGTGTATTTACTCCCTTTTTTATTCATTTCATCAGTGTTGTTTTCATTTCAGTATGGTTGACCTTAGATATAGCGGAATCCTAATTTATAAACAAAAACTTTTGTTACAAAACAGCAATAAATAAATAAATAAAAATATTGTATGAACTTAAATCCATTTAGTGCGAATACAAGTTATTATTACTTGCGCAATTGCTGCAAAGTTAGTTAATAATAATTATAGATATACAAACAAGTAAATAGATTTTCATTTTGCTTATTGTCATACGCAAATTCTGAACTATATATTCAAATCACGTTACAAAGAGTATGCTTAACAGTCCTAGCCAAAACAAACAAATACAATCAATCATCAAAACCACTTATTACGAACTTAAATGTCACAAAACATAGCTCTTTAGTTTACAAAACAAGTCTAAATTTCTGGACTAACTGGGACTACTACAGCCCATACGATAACTGGGTAGTCTTTTTGCTCTGAAACTAAATACGTATTTATGCAAAAAAATTTAATTTTTTTATTCATTGGGCTTATTTCAATAAAAAACTATACAGTTAGAAAGGTAAGTACTTGAATAATTTTGGAACAAAACACAAAACACGTTTTTTTTTTTTTTTTTTTTTTTTTTTCCCGCTGAAATTTAATAATGAAAATCCTCTCTCCAAGCAGGGTCACCAGCGCCGAGCGGCAAAATCGCTGAACACTGGTAGATTGCAACCTGGATTCGATTCCAGGCGAAAAGGCGCTTTCGTGAATTTCACGAAAAATGGGTGCTTTCGTGGTTTCCCCATGTGTAAAAAGAAAAAAAAAAAAAGGAAAGGGCCTGAAAGGGCGCTTTCGTGGTTTCCCCATGTGTAGCATTTATACGAGACAGGTTCCCTTAGAAAGTTCTTCCCGAAAGCATTCCTCCCCTTAGAGAGATAACCCTAGTATGTTTTGTCGTAATCTCAGTAAATCAACCCCCCCTCCAGACATACAAACGAGCAACTACCATTCAACTAAAATAAAAGAATAAATTTAATTTTTGCTCACGTAGAAGCTATACAACAGGGGTGGCCAAACTTTTGGGATCCGTGGTCTACTCCACATTTAAAAAATCGAAGGTGGTCTACCAATGGCACAGCTAAATTAACGTAACGTACATGTTTATATATTTATTTTCGGTAATAAGAAAAAATGGTAAATTACCTAATTTTTCTAAAAAAAACTTAATATTTATAAAATAAAAATTTACTGACGAAAATAATCAAAGTATTCATATATCGAAAATTGACCATTCTATTCACTCGTTTAACTGAATTTGGCACTGTAATCTGAGACAAGTTTATCATATTGTGGCTGGGGTACGAGCTTATTGCAATGCGTAAAACCCGAAATTAAAATATCATCTGTTAAACGCGACCGATGTGTTGGTTTTTATGGCGTTCATGGTTGAAAAAAGCAGATTCGCAAAGATACGTCGATCCAAAGTATGATTTCAAATACAAATCAATTTGTGAAATATTTGGAAACCTTCCTCAGAAATAATTTCCAAAAAATCAGTATCGCTAGATGCTCTGGATTTAAGAAATATATCCCATCTTAATTTAATAATTTCTTCCTCGACCGTGACTGATGTGGTATCTATTAAATGTCCTATTTTTTCAGATACTCCATCAATGTTGACATTTTCATTAAATGGAAATATCATAAAATTGAGTATTTCTTCCAACCTAATTAAGTCAGCGAATCTTCTTTCAAATTCTTCAAACAAAACCTCTAAGTGTTCGGCGAAATCTTCGAAGTCTCGGTTTGGATTATGGTTGCACTCTTCCTCCATGTTTTTAAAGTTTCTCAATTCATGTTTTCTTAATTGAGACGCATACCTTTGTTATCGTTTCTTTGAAAGTTTTAATCGCGCTCACATGTCTGTTAAACATTTATTCTTTCCTTGTAGATTTAGGGTTAAATTAAGTTTTGCAGTGATATCGCAGAGAAAAGCTAGTTTCATGGGCCATTCTTAACTTCCAATTCAGTAACGTGCTCTCCTTTCATTTGTAGAATTTTTTTTTATTTCTGGTAACAGAATACGAAATCTTTTTAAAAGGCACCACGGCTTAGCCACCTCCACGTCTGTGTGCAATAAGAGATCTCCGTACACTGATTCAGTTTCTTCCAAAAGCGCCCGAAATTGTCGTCTTTGAAGACTTCTTGGAACGAATTGAACTGACGATTTTAAAAGCAATTTGCATTATATCATTAGACTTTAGTATTTGTGAACACAATTTCTGTTGATGGATAATTGCAATGATAGCTAGTAAAACTGTGAATTTCCTCAATCATTATTGCACAAGGCAATAAAACCAATTCAATTCCCGACCATTGCTGAAGCTCCATCTGTTTGTTGTAATAGAGACCAATTTCTATATATTGGAAATCCTGTCTTATCAATAAAGGTTTTAAATGAATTGTAGATATCTTGGCCTCTCGTTTATTCTTTCAATTGGAATTATACTTAAGAACTCACCTTTTGAAGTCATATCTTCGAAAACCATTCTCACAAAAATGCGTAACTGTGCAATATCACTAATATCAGTGGATTCATCAGATTGAAGTGATAGGAACTTACAAGATTTTAAATCGTCATTTAATAAATCCTCCAAATTATTATTCATAGCTTCCAGTCCGTCGCATCACAGTGTTACGCGGACAAAGAAATATTATTTCTTGACGATATTATTTCAGATTTGTTTTTTAATCGTGGAAAAGCCCTTCTCCCGCTTTACAGAAAGCTTCTTTTATCAATTCTCCATCTTCGAATGGTGTTTTTCGCTTAATCAAAACTTCTGTAATTTTAAACGACGCCAATGTTACTGCTTTAGTTTGGTACCTGGTCTCGTAAATAACGATTGCTGTAAATGTAAATTCGACTTTAATTCATGCACTTTTCGAAGTTCACTGCTGATTGGAAAGTCTGTAGCGTATTCTAAGTGCATGGTTTTAAAATGTCTTTCGACGTTTGCCTTTTTTGGTAGTGCCACACTTGAGTTACATATGAGACAAACACATTTCTCCCATGGACCTTATAAGAGATAGACTAACCCAGTGGGCGGGACGCGCGTTACCGACATGTCGGCAAGAAAGAGTAGGGACGATCTGGTTTACTTTAACACTAAAACCTATGGCGTTTGTATCACATAACTCTTTTTTAATTATTAAATGTGATACGTTGTATATAGTGGTGAGATTTATGAAAGCCACAGTTTTTTCCAAATAGATTTAATATACCTCATAAAGCACTTTTACTGCATTTCGCGCATTTTTTCACGCATAATTCTTTACAACATCTTTACTTGGGGTGAAAACGGTTAAAAACATAGGCACAAAAATTTATGATTTTAATTTTGCGTACAAAAACGTAAAATAAATAAGATTGATAGTGCGTGATGTTTTGAAATAAATAAGTAAATTAAACAAGATCTGATAACTTTTTTTTTTAATTTAATGACCATTTCAGGCAGTGATTTTCAAAACTATAATAACATTGCAAAACAATCATTTATTTGATTATATCATCATTTACTTATCAAAATTAAAGTGGAATATTTATTTTAGTAATTTATAAAATTCGGACCATAAAAAATTTCTGAGTGTAATGAAAGGGGGGGAAAGGTAAAATAAAATTTAAAAGCACTCAGATTTTATAGTACGCCCAAAAGGCGTACTATAAAATCTGAGGCGTTTTTTTTCAACGTTTTGTGTGCTACCTATATTTACTGAATATTATGTTCTTCGCCCGTAAACCAGATACATTTGAAAACAGCATATCTTTGGAATTTCCGCACTGGAGATAAAACTGTTATTTTCCGTACAGTGCTCTCTCTGAACTCCTTGAGTTTGTTAATAAAAAATTCGTTTAAGTTTTACAAAATATGAAATAGATTAAAACAATCTCGAAATTCGGCCGTCCAGATGCCCATGTTCAGGTGGAGCATTACATTATTCAAAATTTGATGGCTCTAGATACTGTCGTTTTTGTCACAGTGCGAGAAACGTACATGTATTCATGCAGATTCTTCATTATTTAATTTCTTTAAATATAATACAGGGCGATAATATTTGGTAACAACAATTTGCAAGGAGACAAGGACATTTATAGTAAAACAGCGCATAATGCCGCTTCGAAACTAACAGCCTTTCTAGGCTACCGCACCTTTGGGACTAATAATTAAATTAACAGTAAATAAAAAAAATTTTATGCAGAACTAAAAAATAAATTAAAAAAAATAATCACTATAAAATCCAAGCAAAATTAATTATTACTGTTAAATACAATTTAATATTAGAATTAAATGTATAAAAATTATTAAGGAGTCAAAGTGTTTATCACTATGATGTATTATGAAATATAATTGAAATAAAATTCCTTTAGAAATTGTGCTATAATATTCTCTATAATTTAAAAAAGCAGCACAATTTTGACTTTTAAACAAAACTTTCAAAAAATTGTTTTTAAATATTTTAGTATTTTTACTTATTTACACCATAAAAAGCATATGCATTGCAAGAGAAAATTGCTTGTTTGAAATTTCTATAGTTAGATTAAAATATTATTTTCTAAAAGAAGTAATTACAAATTTCTACAGCATAGGAAAAGCTAAAAAAATCCAGCCCTGAAACATGCGATAGCTTTAAATT